AACTGACATCGATGCATATTGATGTTCCGATCCAAGAATGAATACAGGCATAAAAAACTAACGAATCTATCCAGAATTTTATCGACAATCCAGAATTCAAGCATTATTGGCATCAATTTCTTTGTCGATTTGGATTGAACAAATCCAAATTGACGAAACTTGACCTACGCAAGAATATTCGTTTTAAGGAATTCAAGGACCTTTCTTATGAGATTATGGAAATTTATTCGAAGTCAGCTGTAAAACTTTCTTCCAAATTCTTCATTTTCTCGAATTTCAGAACTTTTTTAATCTTCCAGAAACGGCCAAAAAACGGTATATAAACCATTCATGATGTTCATTTTCGATCTCGTTTTTTGTGATATTTTATTGATTGTTAATTTTTTTTCGATAAATATCCGTATTAATATCACGCATCATCAAATATGCAATCACAAAGTCAAGCACCAACACCAACACCGGAACAAGTTCGTTTTCTGATGCTCTACTGGTTCCGAATTCAAGACAGTGCGACTAGAGCAGCTTCTGAAATCAACAAAGCATATCCAAATATCGTGACATCTCGAACCTGTCAACGATGGTTCAAGCGATTCAGGGAAGGGGATTTCAGCTTGGAAGATAGACCAAGATCTGGGCGTCCTCAAGAGGTTGATAATGACAGGTTACTTCAATTGTTGGATGAAAATCCGCGAGTGACCACAGAAGAATTGGCAATGAAGTTCAAATGTTCGAAATCGACAATTTTCGACCATCTTCATTCTCTCGGCAAAAAAAACAGAGCAGGACGTTGGGTCCCACACGAATTGAACGATAATAATCGTGCACAGCGTCTGTCAATCTGTACTTCTTTGTTGCTCAAACAAAGAAGCGAACCTTTCCTAGACCGTATGGTAACTGGGGACGAAAAATGGATCCTGTATGATAACGTAACAATGAAGAAACAATGGCTTAGTCCTCGGCAATCACCTGCTCCGACAGCAAGGCGTGAACTTCATCAAAGAAAAGTATTGCTGTCTGTTTGGTGGGATATTCAAGGAATAATTCATTATGAACTCCTTGAGCCTGGTCGAACCATTACGGCCGAGGTTTATTGTGAACAGTTGGATCGTCTGAAATCGGCAATTGATCAGAAAAGACCGGCACTGGCTAATCGTAAAGGTGTCGTTTTTCATCACGACAATGCCCGACCCCATACGGCAAGAATCACTCTGAACAAATTGTCAGAGTTTGGATGGGAACTGTTACCACAGCCGCCGTATAGTCCAGATATTGCGCCATCGGATTATCATTTGTTCAGGTCCATGGCGCATTACCTGAATGGCAAAAAATTCACCAACAACGGACAGGTGGACGAGTTCCTTCGTCGGTATTTCTTCGAACAAAAGAGCCAAGAATTCTACCGACGGGGAATCGAAGTACTCCCTGAGCGATGGGAAAAGGTGATTGAAAACCAGGGAGAGTACTTCGATGACGGAACGGTAAAAAATTCTTATTTCATAACCACAATAACTCATTAATTTATCCTCAGCCTTAGGGCTCGTCACTCGTCTTGCCAATGGATCTGAACAAATGATAGTCCAATGGCGCAATATCTGTACTGTATGGCCACTGTGACAATTTGTTCAGAGTGATGCCGTACGGCTTTCTCGTGGTGAAATACGATTAGCAAGTGCTGGTTTTTTCTGGTCAATTGTCGATTTCCGGGTACAACTATTGACATTAAACCTCGGCAGTTATTGTTCGACCAGACTCAAGGAGTTTGTAATGAATCACACCTTGAATATCTCACCAAATAGACAGCAATTTTTTTGGCTGATGAAGTTCACGCCTTGCCGTTGGAGCCGGTGGTTGTTTTGGACTTAGCCATTGTTACGTTATCATACAGGATCCATTTTTGGTCCAAAGTTACCTTACGGTCGAAGTACTGTTCGCTTCTTTGTTTGAGCAACAAAGAAGTACAGATTGACAGACGCTAGGCACGATTATTACCGGTCAATTCAAGTGGGACCCAAAGTCACGCTCTGTTTTTTTGCCGAACGAATGAAGATGGTCGAAAATTGTCGATTTCGAACATTTGACCTTTATTGCCAATTCTTCAATGGTCACTCACGAATTTTCGTCCAACAATTGGAGTAACTTGTCATTATCAACCTCTTGAAGACACCCAGATCTTGCCTATCTTCCAAGCTGGAATCCCTTTTTCTGAATCGCTTGACCATCGTTGTCAGGTTGGAGATGTCACGATATTTGGATATGCCTTATTGATTTCTGAAGCTGTTTCGTCGCACTGTCTTTAATACGGAACCAGAGAGCATCATTAATCGCACTTGTTCGGGTTGGTTTGCTTGTGTGTGTCTTTTTTTGCTTGCAATTTTTTTCATTTGGCCATGAAAGCCTTTTTGATTTGTTTTTTAACGTGATCAATTTTTCAATTTGTGATGATTTTTCTGCCTGATAATTTGCAATGTTTTTTTTAATCATTTTTTATTTTTTACTGTTATCCTTTTTATTGTTTGAATTTATCATTAAATGTTTATCATTAATTTTTTTTTGAAATGGATTCGTTAGTTTTTTATGCCGGTATTCATTCTTGGATCGGAACATCAATATGCATCGATGTCAGTTTGGTTGATTTGGATTTGTTCAATCCAAATCGACAAAGAAATTGATGCCAATAATGCTTGAATTCTGGATTGTCGATAAAATTCTGGAT